AACAAACAGACCAGCAGGAAAGGCAGCTCCTCTCCTCTGGTTCCCTCCCTCTCCCCCTCCCCCCACCTCTCCCTTCCTTTCTCAGGCATCAGAGCAGAGAGCACAGAACCCAGGAAGCCAGGCTCACGGCGAGAGGCCCTGCCATGGCCCCCGCTAGGTCCCTTCTGATGCTGGCCCTGCTGGCCTGGGCTGTTCTGGCTGACCAAGGTGCAGGAGGGTGCTGGTGGCCAGTTGGGCTAATGTAGGGTGGGGAAGAATGGGCCAGTCTTGGCTGTGCCAACCGACACTCCCTCCCCACAGAGTCATGCAAGGGTCGCTGCACCGAGGGCTTCAACCCGGAGAAGAAGTGCCAGTGTGATGAGCTCTGCTCTTACTACCAGAGCTGCTGTGCCGACTTCGTGGCTGAGTGCAAGCCCCAAGGTGCGTTCGGAATGGCTGGGTGGGCCTGGGGTCCCCCCTGCAGCTGGAGACTCACTCACACCACCCACTCTGCCTGCAGTGACCCGCGGGGATGTATTCACTATGCCAGAAGATGAGTACTGGGTTAATGGCCTCGATACGGAGACGGAATATCCCAGTGTCCCCACACAGACAGAGAGCACCCCCCTTGACAGTAACCCACAGGCCCCTGAGAATACTCCTGAGCAGGGACCTGTTCTGCACGCTGAGGAAGAGACCCCACGACCAGAACAGGAGACCTCAGGGCCTGCCGTGGAGGCTCTAAGGCCTGAGAGCACCGATCAAGAGATCCCCGAGTCCTCAGCAGAGGAGCTGTGCAGTGGGAAGCCCTTCGATGCCTTCACTGACCTCAAGAATGGTTCCCTCTTTGCCTTCCGAGGTGACTCCAGGGGCAGGTCTCTGGGGCGGGGGGTCTGCCCCAGGAACATCCCCTCCCTCACACAGCCTCCTCCACTCTAGGGAAGTACTGCTATGAGCTGGATGAATATGCAGTGAGGCCTGGGTACCCCAAGCTCATCCAAGATGTCTGGGGCATCGAGGGCCCCATTGATGCTGCCTTCACCCGCATCAACTGTCAGGGGAAGACTTACCTTTTCAAGGTGCCAGGCCCAGGGGTTGTGGGTCAGGGGCAAGGGTATCAAGGCAGGAGTTGAGAGCTGTTGTGCCGACGACCAGGGTGGGCAAGAAGGCTGAGGCCCAGCCTTTGGTGTCTGGCTGAAGCTCTGTAAGGTCAAGGAAGCCCAACGTTCCAGGTCCTGGGTGACAGGTCTAGAACTGAGACTGCTGGCATGGATTGGGGACTCTGCCTCTGTGCCCAGCCAGCCACCTCCTCACCTCCCTCCTCCTTCCCTACCCCCTTTAGGGAAGTCAGTACTGGCGCTTCGAGGATGGTGTCCTGGACCCCAATTACCCCCGCAGCATCTCTGAAGGCTTCGCGGGCGTTCCAGACAACGTGGATGCAGCCTTCGCCCTCCCCGCTCACAGCTACAGTGGACGGGAGCGGGTCTACTTCTTCAAGGGTACTCAGGGGGCAGAGGGGAGAATGAGCAGGCAGTGGAGCAGGCTCAGTTTTTTGGGGGGAGGGAGACTGGCCTAGATGATGCCTATGTCCGTCCTCCCTCCACCCTGCCCTGGCCTGGAGCGCCTAACAGCCTCTGGGCTTTCCAGCCTTGCTCATGCGCATCCCTCCCCAGGGAAACAGTACTGGGAGTACGAGTTCCAGCAGCAGCCCAGCCGGGAGGAGTGTGAAGATAGCTCCGTCTCAGCTGTGTTTGAACACTTTGCCATGATGCAGCTGGCCGGCTGGGAGGACATCTTTGAGGTTCTTTTCGGGAGCAGACCCTCCGGTATGGAGGGAGGGCAGGTCTTGTGTCCCCTTCAGGAGGGCTGGGATCCCCGGAGGGCTGGGATGGCCAGAGGGGGGAGTGACGGTAGACCAGCTTGTAGAGCTATCGATCGAAAGCTGTTTGCTCAGGCCAGACTTTGCATCTGTTTTGACCTTTTGGGGGAAGGCTTGCCTCCACCTGGACCCCACACCTTGGACTTTGCCTAGCATGGCCAAGGGCACAGCCAGCAAAAAGGAGGGGCTGTGGCTGAGGTAATCGGGGAGGGACATGGTGGAGGGAGGCCAGGGGAAAGGGCATTAAACAGGGAGTCAGAAGGCCAGGGTGCTGGCCTCTGCCGCTAGCTTGCTGTGTCCTTGGTCACCTGATGAACCACCCTGCGGGGGGTCCAGGCTCTCAGGGTTCCCCATGAACCCCTTCCCTGCTACAGGTGGTACCAGACCGCCCCAGTCCATCAGCGAGGACTGGCCTGGTGTGCCCGAGAAAGTGGATGCAGCCATGGCTGGCCGGATCTACATCTCAGGCTCGGCTCCGCGCTCCTCCTTGACCAAGCGCACTAAGTCTAAGTCTAAGCGTCGCAACCGTAAACGCTACCGATCACAACGCGGCCGCGGCGGCGGTGGCCACAGCCCCAAGTCCCACCGGAAATCCCGTTCAATCTGGCTGTCCTTGTTCTCCAGTGAGGAGAGTGACCTGGGAGCCTACAACTATGATTACGCCTTGGACTGGCTTGCGCCTCCCAAATGCGAGCCCATCCAGAGCGTCTACTTCTTCTCCGGAGGTAGGAGCCCTGGCCACCTCTGGAGCGGGTTCGGCCGTAGCCCTCCCTGATCTCTCTGGTTCCCATGAGCTCAATTCAGCCCCTGAGCAGTGACTCCAGAAAGCCAGGCCAGGAGTCCTGGCCTGCATTGTGATGTTCACTTACCCTTCCAAGAGGGACCGGGTTTCAGGGCAGGCTTGGGCAGGCCCTGGCTGCGTCTCACACATTCTCCCCCCCCCCCCCCCCCAACCTCTCTTCCAGACAAGTACTACCGAGTCAACCTTCGCACACAGCGAGTGGACACTGTAAGCCCTCCCTACCCACGGAACATCGCCCAGTACTGGTTGGGCTGCCCAGCCTCTGATGTAGGAGTCTGAGCCCATAGAGCTGGGCCCTCCGCTGCTTCCTCCTCGAACCTCCTCCCCCCAGCTCAATAAAGATCCCTTGGCGCCGAGTTTAAGATGATTGTCTTGTCTGGGGTAGACAGGAAGGAGGCCAAGATCTGCCTGGGTAAGGGAGGCTTGGAGAGAAGAGCCTTCCTGTGTCCGGCCCACGGCCTCCTAATGAACCACAAAGCTGCGGCTGGAGGAGGCCTCATGGGTGCTACTCCTCTTCCTGAGCTAAGCAGCCCCAACAACCCGCCAGTAGCTAGGCAGGAGCGTGAACCCCTCTGATGATGACAGGAGTCACCAAGTGCCTCCTCTCAGCTCTGGGCTTGATGTACCTCCTGGAATTGGCCTCTAGGGTCTTGGAGGACAGAGAAGGGGTGAAGGGGATGGGCTTCTGGTTCAGTTTTCTGGCCATCTTGAGCCTCAAATGTGATTATCTCAGACACCCGAGTCCCTAGGGGACTGGTCACTGCTCCCCTAGGCACCCCTATCTTGGAGGACTCTGTCTGGGGTCTCTGGGTGCAAGGCGCTGAGGTTAGGAGAGAGAAGGCAGGGACCCAGAGGAAATGCCAATGTTCCTACATCTCTTAGAAAGTGGCCCAGAAGATTTCCAAGGACCAGTGCACTGTAAATACAAATATCTTTCTCTTTCTTTAAAAAAAAAATATATATATTTTATTGATTTTTTTACAGAGAGGAAGGGAGAGGGACAGAGAGTTAGAAACATCAATGAGAGAGAATCATCTACCAGCTGCATCCTGGTACATCCCCCACTGGGGATGTGCCCCCAACCAAGGTACATGCCCTTGACCGGAATCCAACCTGGGACCCTGCAGTCTGCAGGCTGACGTTCTATCCACTGAGCCAAACCGGTTAGGGCACAAATATCTTTCTTAAAACTCCTCAGCTGTCCCTGTGGAACCTCCTCTGGTTTCAGGTTCTTGGACTCTAGGAAGCCCACCTGGGCTTTTGAGGGGCGGGAGAGAAAGGGTTAGATGAAAGCAGAGCTCTAACGCAGACCTGAGGGAGATCTCGTGGTGACAGCTGCTTCCCAGCCCTGCTGCTGTCCCGTCATCCTCTGCACCCCGTCCAGCCTCAGCAGGAACTCCCCCCGTAACCTGGAGAAAGGGAATCCTTTCTGCTTGTTTGGAGGCTTCAGAACGAAGTTACAGGCCAGCGTCCTGTGGAACAAGACTGCTCTGTACACTTGGGCAAGTTCAGGCAGCATGGCCCACTTCCGGGAAGGCCTGGGTTCTATTTCCTCCCGATGGAAAACCCCAGGCCCACAGTGCCTGGACTGGACCGGAGAAGGCAGACAGGCATCAGGACCAGGAGAAGGTACCCACAGACCAGTTCTGTTCAGTTGTCAGTCTCCTCTACTGCCACCTCTGGCAGTTCACAGAGGATGAGGCTGCCCACAGAAAGAGCAGGTGGCCTTGGCGTGGCCCTGACTAACCAGAGCTGAGTACAAAGAACCTGATGGACTGACAGAGAGTCAGTGATTGGCAGCTGGGAGCCTGGAGCCCCTCCAAACATGCCTGGGGTTTTGGGTTCAATCCTGGGTGAGGCATGTAGGAGGCAACTAATCAATGATTCTCTCATCATTGATATTTCTCTCTCTCCCCGCTCCCCCTCCTCCTCTTTGAAATCAATGCAAATATTAAAAAACAAAAGTTTAGGTTGCCAGAAACACTGTAAAATGCGACCTACATTTTTCCCCCCATTTTCATTCCTGCCAACCAAAAACAGAAATCCTAAAAATTCTCAACGTGATCTATGGTGAACAGAAGGGCCTAAAAACCTCCTCCTCTCTCATGCAGAATACTGCCACGACAGGCTCAGACTTGCTATAACTGGCAGACATGTGGAGGGAATGTCTACTGAGCCAATGAGGATATAATTTCTAAGAATAGAGGAGTGCCAGGGGCCGGAGAGGGGGAGACCATGAACAAATGGAAAGATGGACTCTACCATCAGAAACACTCCGCACAATTTTCAGAACTATGAAAGTCTTTGGGCTTTTGTATTCTCAGAGATTTGAAATGAAAGTACACTGAATACAATAAATATTTATTGTGCTTTATACAGATTCTATCACACTACTAATCTAAGTTCCGGAAGTTTAACATTACACAGAGACTTCAGGACCATCTTGGAGTTTTTGACTCCATTTACTAGAGGAAGGAACACAGTAGATCATTTGATCTCTCTCGGCCTCAGTTTTGTCATCTGGAAAAGAGCCTAAGACCATTTCCTTTTTCTAACCTACAGGACTGTTGTAAAGACCAAAAGCAACTATGTAAAACAATTAGTCAACTGGGAGCATTTACATACTATTTTCCACACTCACCTAAACATGTTTAAGAACCCCACAGAAAACATCCTGTATTAGGCTCACATATAAAAATGTTTACATATTCATAATGTATATATTATGCAGATACTCATGTATGTTTATTCATATTCATATGTAGTTAAATATGAAAATCATCCCTGTCCCTCCCTTTACTAGTTGAGGCAATCTCACAGTAGGCATGCTCTCCCCATAAACACAAACAAGCACAAGGGATTTTGCAATTAAAAGCAAAAACTGTTTTGTGACCTGATTGTTTTCATTTTTGGAGACAGAGCAAAAGGGGATGTGAAGATGGGAAGTTTAAGAAGGTGGGTGATAGAGACAGGCAGAAGCATATAGAAAACCTAAAAGGCAAGCAGAAGGAAGAAAATGTAGACAGAAACTAAGATTCCAAAAAGATAGCTGCCTTATTTCCAGTTCTGCTGTTCTGTACAGACCCATCTTCCTCTTCTTGTTTTATGTCCTCCGATCAGTTCTTCCCCATAACCTGGAGAAAGGGAATCCTTTCCGCTTGTTTGGAGGCTTCAGAACGAAGTTACAGGCCAGCATCCAGGATGTGTGGAACAAGGGTGACGACTGCTCTGTACACTTGGGCAAGTTCAGGCAGCATGGCCCACTTCCGGGAAGGCCTGGGTTCTATTTCCTCCCGATGGAAAACCCCAGGCCCACAGTGCCTGGACTGGACCGGAGAAGGCAGGCAGGCATCAGGACCAGGAGAAGGTACCCACAGACCAGTTCTGTTCAGTTGTCAAAGTCTCCTCTACTGCCGCCTCTGGCAGTTGACAGAGGATGAGGCTGCCCACAGAAAGAGCAGGTGGCCCTGGCGTGGCCCTGACTAACCAGAGCTGAGTACAAAGAACCTGATGGACTGACAGAGTCAGTGATTGGCAGCTGGGAGCCTGGAGCCCCTCCAAACTGTCTCCAGACTTTGATGATGAAGCACCAGTTATATCTCTCCCAACTCGCCTTCCATCACCCGCACCATGACATACAGCTCAGCCAGACCCACCACAGAGGCGACGATCACTGCAGCCAGTATCCGCTGGGGAGGGAAAACACCGGGCTCAGGGGATGGCCAGCCACCAGCCCTGAGCCTCCAACCCCTCTAATAAGGATGAAGAGAACCCCAACCCAGCCCATAAGTTGGCGGGAAAGAAAGAGGATCTGAATTCTCCAGAGGTTATTAACCACCCCCAAGACTATGAGGCTCAAATGCTCCTTTTCCCCCCCCCCTTTATTAAGGTATTACATATGTGTCCTTATCCCCCAATTGGCCCCCTCCCCCCCTCATGCCCTCAACTCCTGGTGTCTGTGTCCATTGGCTAGCTTATATGCATGCATACAAGTTATTTGGTTGATCTCTTCCTTTTATCCCCACCCTCCCCTACCTTTCATCTGAGGTTTGACGGTTTTGATCGATGCTTCTCTGTCTCTGGATCTGTTTTTGTTCATCAGTTTATGTTGTTCATTATATTCCACAAATGAGTGAGACTATGTGATATTTATCTTTCTCTGACTGGCTTATCAAATGCTCCTCTTGTTTATTGCACAAATATTTGTTTATTACCTAACTTATGCAAGGCATTTTCACATACATCCTCCCTTTCCCATTAACCCTCACCTGGAGCACCCTACCCTGCCCAGTGCTTACTCACCGAGGCCATTTCTGTGAAGATGTACTGGCTTCCAAGGTATGTGCAGACAAAGGCAGCTGCCACCGTGACAATGAAGTTGAAGATGGTGATCACCACAGCTTTCACTGACCTCACTAAGGGGAGAAACCCAGGGAAGAAACCTTAAGCTCAGCGTTCTCCAGGAGGTCCTTATCTCTATATCTCCTCCCCCATCTACTGGGTCTCCCTTAACCAGCAAACCCGAGTAGCTCAGGCTTAACCCCAGAGCACTGGGGTGGGAAGGAATGCCATGACAGCCCTCCCAGGGAGAGACTTTAGCACCTAATATCCTAGTCTCTCACCTTCCTTGCCCAGGTCATTTAGAATCCCACCATGCCTTGAATCCTGGGAAAAAGAAAAAACAAATGATTTCAGAATGGAAGCAGATCAGAGGCAGCCCAGAAAGTATCCATTTGTTAGTCTGGGCTCAGCCCTTTTTATTCCCCAAAGCATTGTAATTCTTTCTTTCTTTAAAAAAAAAAACAACAACAACAAACACACATACACACACACACACACACACACACACACACACAGCCGGGACCGGTTTGGCTCAGTGGATAGAGCGTCGGCCTGCGGACTGAAAGGTCCCGGGTTCGATTCCGGTTAAGGGCATGTACCTTGGTTGCGGGCACATCTCCAGTGGGGGGTGTGCAAGAGGCAGCTGATCGATGATTCTCTCTCATCGATGTTTCTGGCTCTCTCTCCCTCTCTCTTCCTCTCTGTGAAAAATCAATAAAATATATTTAAAAAAAAAAAAAATAAAAAAAAAAATAAAAAAACAACAACAACAAACACACATACACACACACACACACACACACACACACACACATATATATAAAATTGATTTTCTACAGAGAGGAAGAGAGAGGGATAGCGAGTTAGAAACATCGATCAGAGAGAATCATCGATCAGCTGCCTCTTGCACACCCCCTACTGGGGATGTGCCCGAAAGCAAGGTACATGCCCTTGACCGGAATCGAACCTGGGACCTTACAGTCCCCAGGCCAACGCTCTATTCCACTGAGCCAAACTGTTTTTGGCTGTAATTCTTTCTTATCCATGGATTCTTTTGTCTGTGACCAGTTGGATTCTTTTCTGGACCACAGATCAAGCATTTCAAAGACAGGACACAGGATCCCAGTACTCATCTACCCCTCTACTCTTCTAGGACAGGAGCATGCCAGAGAACAGTACGGAGCCTGCTGGAAAAAAGGCTCCGATGCTCATTCCCATCTCTACAACCTTTAAGAATCAGTCACCACCTAAGCTCAGAGTCTCAGTGAATAGGTTGGTAATTATATTTGGTTTTTATGTAACACAGAGCTGCTTTGATCCCTGAAGAGTATACAAACCATGTTGTTTCTTTCCTCTGTGCCTCTTCACAGCACAGTGCCCTCCTTTCTGGGGCTACTCAGTCCATGTATTTAAGAGCAGGCCCTTACCTGACAGGTGACATTGCGGGTGATCCGCTTATATTCGTCATTGGCCAGCTGTATCTTAATTTTCTCCAGACGGGCAACTAGCTCTGGGTTCTGAGGCAGGAAAATCAAATGAGAAGAATGATATTCCCAGGTTGCTAGAAAACATGTCACAGTCATTGGTTTCAGGGGACAAAGCACTGCTAAGGGTACTAGGAGACCCATGTACCAGTTCACCCGCCTCTACTGCTTTGGAAACTTTTATGTCAAACATGGAGGACCAATGTCTGGTTCCCCTCAACCCAGCTCCCAAGGATTTAAAAGACAAAATTTGAACTCAAAAGTTGACCTATAAATCTGGTTGTATCACAAATAAGCTCAATTCAAAACCCACTCTCACAAATATACCCCTTACATACCCTGGGAGGCTTCACCACCTCTGGGAGATAGATCTCACTGCCTTCTAGGAGCTCATGAAGGTACAGTGTGGAACCTGGGGAGAAAAGATTTCCACAAACATAATGATCCATAGAGCTGAGGTCGAAGGATTAAGGATTAGAGAAGGATCTAGTCTTTCTGCTAAAATAAAGCATGGCCATTTCGATGCCCGTTCATCTTCAATGGGGGAAGAATACAAGACAAGGCCACATAATCATCTCCTACTGCTGCACAGCTGAGTTTAACTGTCAGCACTCAGTTACCCTGGCAATGTCACAGCTAACACATAAGCCATTTACATTTGCCTGCAGGGTAAGTCATTTCTGTGGCCACCATAGAACTGCCCTCATTAAGTTAACGTCACAGTGGTGTGTACTACTCAGAGGACATTGTACTAGAGGATCTCTAAGGTCCTTTTTAGTTCCAGTAGTTAAGCAGTCTATCCTTTGTACCTCTGGGTAGGCAATGCTATTTTTAGCAAAACACCTTACAAGCCCGTGTGTCCTATTTCCTCCCTTTACGGTTAAGGAAACTGAGGTCCAAGGAAGAGAAATGATTCCTCCAAAGGGAGTCAGTGGCAGAGCTAGGATTAGAGCTCAGGTGCTACTCCCAGTTCGGACCTTTCCACCAGCTTTCCATCATCCTATTTAACGCCAGATTTGCCTGGCCAGTGTGCTCAGTGGTTAGAGCACCAGCCTGGAGGGTCTCGGGTTGGATTTCCGGTCAAGGGCACGTAGGTGGGTCCCAGTCGGGGCGCCTGGGAGAAGGTAACCAATCAATTGATGTTTCTCTCTTTCCCTCCCTTCCACTCTCTCAAAAAATCAATGGGAAAAATATCCTCCATGAGGATTAACAACAACAACAAAGAGTCAGATTTGACTACTTTTACTTCTGAAATGGAAAGAAATCCAGATTCGCAAATAGGCCAAGCTCACTACGCTTAATGTGGCCTAAAAGAAACTGAACCTGTGAAATGGTACTGGGTTTGGACTTGGGGACTTTTTCAAAGGTCAGGTGGGCCTACTTGGGCCTGGACGTGAAGTGGAGGTTCCCAAGAAAGCAGAAACGGCACAAGTAAACGTTGCGATCCAGCGGGAACCACCATAGACGTTGTGAAGGGATCAGGTTGCCCTGGGATTTATGAGCCGAGTCTTGGGTTGGCTCCATGATGACCGCTCCGCAGGCGAAGGAGAATGATGGATAAAGACGCCTGAGGTGCGATCAAGACCTCAAGAGGGAACAGGCTCTGGGAAAAAAAGGAGGCAACTCCGGACTGGAGACTGGGTCTCACCCCTTTCCCTCAGATACTGGTGCAGATCCCGGATCAGGCGGAAGGGAACCAGGCGTGCGGAAGCCCTGGGGCGGTCACCACCCTTGTGCTTCTCCAACGCGGCCTCAAGCTCTGCCCGCAGCTTGCGCGGAAGGTGCTCTGGCTCCAGCTCCCCGCCAGGGGCCAAAGCGCGCACCAGCCGATCGCCGGCAATCAAGCACGACGCCATGTCTAGTCCCCTGTACGGTCAGGTGACCCTCCCCAGCCGGGACTTCCGCCTGCAGTGCGCCGGAAGGAGCTCGGGGCTGGCGGGGCGGGGCGGGGCGGGGCGGGGCCAGGCCCGGCGCGGGGCAGTGTGGGGCGGGGGCGGGACGCCGCCCGGCCGCGGGTCGGGCCCTGTTCCAGCAAGCAGCCCAGCAGGCGCTCAGGGGGACATGGCGGGCTGTGTGGCCCGGCGGGTCCTGGCCGTGGGCGGCCGCTGGTGGTCCCGGTCGCTGTCCGGGGCCCGGGGCCCAAGGCCGCTCTGTGCGGCAGGTGGACCTAGGGCCTTCCTACCAGCGGCGACCACGACGCGGAGGCACCTCTCGTCCCGGTGAGGGACCGGCCGCGGGGCAGGGGCCCGGCGCCTTAGGGAGCGTGTTCCCGGCCGGCCGGGAAGGAGGCTAGGAGGTCCTGCCCCCGAGGGTGTTTGGAGTTCGACCCGGGAGAGGGTCCCGGCCCGGAGCCTACCTACGCCGCCTGGGATGTGTGCCAGGAGCAGAGGAGGGAGCGCGATCCGAGCTCTGCGCTGTGCGGGGCTGGCTCCGGGGGCGGGGGCGGTGGACGGGGGTGGGGGCAGGGGACTAGTAACCCTCCCAGAGTGAATCCTACCTCCGGGATTGGGGATTTTCGAGTGCCGCTGTCAGTAGGCAGCCTTTTCATGGAGCCCTAGGGCTTTTGACTTAGAACAACCCCCCCAGAAAGATGCTCGAAGTTGAAAACAGGACTCTCTTGAGTTTGAGTCCTGCAGGGGGTCCCCGGTTTCAGTGTGACCTTGGGGAGACTGGGTCTCTGTATGATTTGGGAAAGGGGGCTTGAGGTTATGGGAATGGTGTGAATATTGTCATAAGCAGCTTAACTTCGGGCCAGTGAACCCAGTGGGAGGAAACACAATGTTCACATGTCAACAATGGTCAGAATAACGGCGCTTTACAGAGCCCCCGCCTACAAGAAGCACCTGTCCAGAGAGGTCGCCGGGAGAACTGACCTTTTAATGGCCGAGATGAGACACTTACATTGGGGAGAGATGCATTTTTGAGCCCCCTGTGCAAATTGATGTAAATCTGAACAAAAACTAGATTTCAAGACCACTAGGTGCAATGTAGGGAGGGACAGTAGGAAATCTAAGAGAGGACCATGAAGCCCTTCCAGGGTAGAGGTGGGGATGGGGGGGGGGGGGAAGATGGACTTGGAATTAGAACAAATATTTTTTGAGCTCCTGGTATACACGAGGCTTTGAGGGGCAACACCAGCTAATCAGGCACAGGCTCCCAGGGAATCTAGTTTCTAATGGAGATAAGACATGGATACAAATAACTGAAATGCCAGGTGGGAAGGACAGTTAAAGTGCTGTGGGAGGTCGTGAGGGTAGCTGAGCGAAGAAAGGGAGGTGAGGAGCACAGTTGAGCAGGGTATGAAGGCAAGATATGAAGAATGAAGAGGAGAAAGACACCTGGGAGTTCAGACCTAACCTGGAAACCAAGAAAGGGCCATCGCTGGACCTCCGAGGAGGACAGGCAGAAGCTGTGTGGGGTGGTGATCTGGCAGGACCCCTACCTGTTTCAGCTGGCCCCACTGACCTGACCCTTCTCTGCTGTCATTGCCTTGGCCCCTCGGTACCCTAGTCGCTTTCTTTTCTGATGGAGAAGAAGTCCTGTTACCTCGTCAGCTTCTCAGTTGCTTGTTCTGTTCCTTCTTAATCAGAAACCGACCAGAGGGCAAAGTTTTGGAGACAGTTGGTGTGTTTGAGGTGCCAAAACAGAATGGAAAATATGAGACTGGGCAGGTGAGTGCTGGGCTGGGTCATCTTTCATTTTCATGGTGTGTTCTGCTTCGGAAAGCGTCGGAGTTGGCCACAGGGCTGCATGTTAACGGTATTCACCCTTGGTGTTTGGTACCAGACCAGAATCATGTTTTTAAAGGTGGGTTTCTTGTTTTCCTGGATTTGAATGCTTTTCATGTGTCAGTGGGTTCTCTCTCCAAGTTCGTGTGGACAGAGATGGTGTGGACTATGGTGAGGAGAGAGCCAAATTGCTGAATAGTCAGTCCTCTAACATAGAGAATGGTGGGAAACCAGTGGAGGGAGCTTTCAGAAAAGCAAACCTGCCTGGAGGGAGTGGCTCAGGTGGTTGAGCGTCGTCCTGTGCACCAAAAAGGCTGCGGTTTGATTCCTGGTCAGGGCATGTGTCTGGGCAGCTTCCATCCCCAGTGGGGATGCATATGGAGGGCAACCTATTGAGGTTTCTCACATTGCTCTCTCTCTCTGTCTCCCTTCCTCTCTCTAAGCGTGTACTTCGGCGAGGATTTAAAAAAAAAAAAAAAAGCCCTGACAGGTTTGGCTCAGGGGATAGTGTGTCAGCCTGTGGACTGAAAGATCCCAGGTTCGATTCCGGTCAAGGGCATGTACCTTGGTTGCGGGCACATACCCAGTAGGGAGTGTGCAGGAGGCATCTGATCAGTGTTTCTCTCTCATTGATGTTTCTGACTATCCCTCTCCCTTCCTCTCTGTAAAAAACCAATAATATATATATATTTTTAAAAATGGCTTTGGTGCTTCATCATAATTGAGCTCTTCGCAGTGCAATAAGCTCTGGGTGTGAGGCTCTTTTTCTGTAGCAGCTTTGTGTTAGATCTACTGAGATGGATTTAGGCTTCTTGTAGGGAAGGATGACTTTTTGTTTATTGAACATTTTTTTATGTGCCTACAATGGACCGGGCATTGTGCATTGGCATTAAATAAGTGTATTTATTAAATAATGTGATTATTATACATTATAATTACCTTTATGACATTGACAGTTTAGAAAGGAGTCTGATATGCAAATGGTCAATGGCTGTGTATTGTGCTAAGTGGAGGAGAAGCCAGGGAACACTTTCTAGAGGCTAACATTGTGGCCTAAAGCCGTGTTCAGCGAACATGCGGCTCTTTGGCCCCTTGAGTGTGGCTCTTCCACAAAATACCACTGCCTGGGCGAGTCTATTTTGAAAAAGTGGCATTAGAAGAAGTTTAAGTTTTAAAAATTTGGCCCTCAAAAGAAATTTCAATCGTTGGCCGAAACCGGTTTGGCTTAGTGGTAGAGCATTGGTCTGCGGACTGAAAGGTCCGGGTTCGATTCCGGTCAAGGGCATGTACCTTGGTTGCGGGCACATCCCCGGTAGGGGTGTGCAAGAGGCAGCTGGTCGATGTTTCTCTCTCATCGACGTTTCTAGCTCTCTCTCTCTCTCCCTCTGTAAAAAATCAATAAAATATATTTTAAAAAAAGAAAAAGAAACTTCAATCGTTGTACTGTTGATATTTGGCTCTGCTGACTAAAGAGTTTGCCGACCACTGGCCTAAAGGATGAGCAGAAGTCCACCAGGTGAAGATGGGGTAAGAATGTTCCCTCTTTGGGTAGGTCATAGAGTTTAAGGAAAAGGAGTGGCCAGACCTTGAATGGGTCCCACCTGCATGGCCTTGCTGGATTACAGACTCACTGAGGCTTCTCTTTCCTCCCAGCTCTTCCTTCATAGTGTGTTTGGCTACCGTGGTGTTGTCCTGTTTCCCTGGCAGGCCAGACTCTATGACCGGGATGTGGCTTCTGCAGCTCCAGAAAAGTAAGTTGCCCTGCATTGTGCCTCACAGTGTTCTCAGGAGGAAGCCTGACTCTTGGCAAACATAATTTGGATCCTAGGAGTGAAGATAGCATCCTCCTGGCCCTTAGAAGCAGCCCCCACACTACTCCCCTGGCACTAATACCCATGGAGACAGAAGTGCTGAGTGCGGGGACATCTGTAATACTTTCAACAATAAAGATTTAAAAAAAGGAGAAAAAGTGCTGAGTGCCAGGGTTCTTAAGCCATTCTCTCCCAGGCTATTCTCAGTTTGTATTATAATTACCACAGAAGGAATTGGGAGATTAGACTTTTTGATTTTTAAAAAAATATATTTTATTGATTTTTTAGAGAGAGGAAGGGAAAGAGATAGTTAGAAACATCGATGAGTCATCAATCAGCTGCCTCTTGCATGCCCCCTACTGGGGATGTGCCTGAAACCAAGGTATATGCCCTTGAGGGGAATCGAACCTTGGACCCTTCAGTCCGCAGGCTGATGCTCTATCCACTGAGCCAAACCGGTTTTGGCAGACTTTTTGATTTCTTGACGGGCAGTTAGAATCTTTCCATTAACCTCTTATCATCATTAGAGTACATTAACAAAAAAAAGGCCTGCCCAGCTGGTGTGGCTCAGTGGTTGAGCCTTGACCTTTCGTATGTACCAGGAGATCCCGGGCATGTACCCTGACATGTACAGGCTTGATTCCCAGTAGGGGGCATGCAGGAAGCTGCAGATCAATGATTCTCTCTCATCATTGATGTTTCTCTCCTCTCTGAAATAAATTAAAATGTATTTAAAAGAAAAAAAGAAAAGGCCCAACTTCATTCAGTGATCATAGACAGCTCTGGAATGTAAGAAGAGGGGGGTACTCTGGGCTCTAGGGACTGAAGCAGCAATTTGATTTTCTCAATATCTCCTTCTTCCAAGAGGCAGCCAGAGAGTAGGGCAAATGATAACTCCATGCCATGGGTCCCCACGCTCCATTATTTGCCCCTGAGTGGGGAGTGGTGGGCTGGGTTTTGCTAAAAACTTCAGATCAGGTACCAGTCAGTTTATTTTATTTATTTATTGGGATTTTTATTTTATTTATCTTTCATTTTTTTATACCATAACCAAGTGGAATTTATTCCAGGGATACAAACATGGTACAATTTTTGAAAATCAATTAATGTGATACATCACATAAATAAAATGAAGGATAAAAATCTCAGGATCATATCAGTAGATGCAGAAAAGCACTCAACAAAATCTAGCACCCAGCCCTGGCTGGTGTGGTTCACTTGTTACACACTGTCCCGCAGGCATCTAACAGTGTAGATGAGGAAGGGCTGGGGTAGGAACCTGGGAAGGCACTGATTTTGTTTCTCTCCGGATGATTTTTTTAAAAAAATATATTTTATTGATTTTGTACAGAGA